GACGAAAAATAATAATGCTTACTTCAATCCGTCATGAATGCCCAGGAAAGAAAGGAAATCAGGGCTCGGGTAATGACATGTGACTGATGAGTAATCATCATTGACTTGAGGCTTCCACGATGGGCAATGCAAAGTGGTGAAATAATCTGATTGTTTTAGTAGCAAAATGTGAACTAGAAAATGGAGATCTACGGGTGGCATGCAAGGTCATTTTTAATGGGAAGGGGGTCAAAAGTTCGTGAAAAGGGCACTTGCGCATCCGTGCTGAAATGTAGACAGGTTTTTTTCTCTCCGCACATTTAATCTCCGTTAAATCAAAAGTAGGAGGGGGGGGGGGTTGGTACCAATGGGGGTGTTGTTCAAACCGGACGATAATACACACTATAGGCCTAGCGCTTTAAAGAGCGGCACAATTGCCAACAGTCGAGCAAAATTCCAGTAAGGGCACTCATAAAAGGCCCCTGGCTAAAAACCGGCCCTTTTTTTAAACAAGGCTCTCTTTACAAATATTGGGGGGGGGGGGGTTAAAAGCTGGTGAAAAGAAGGGCACTTGAGTGGAAAGGGGCAGTCTTTACGTAATGTTAAGGGTGGGGTTTAGAGGGTCTTCCCTCCCTTCCACCTTAGGCCACAACAATTTCAAAAAGTCATGCAGAAAAAATAACACCCAATGCCCATGCGTGCATTCTTGATCAAAAACTAGATCCATCCCTGGTCTCAAATTATAGTATAATAATTAATATGCATATACGGTAAGAAAACAAACAGGTTAAGTGTCATTTGCAAAAAAAAATCACTTTGACAGAACGAAAACAAAGATTTCGGTGGGAGGTTTGAGTCTTAAAACTGCGTATTTTCTTTGAATAACATCCAGCAAGAAAGCAGATAACCAAGAGGCGGGCCATAGTAGCATGTACCCCCTTTTGCCCCCGCCCTTTAGCCTTTAAGGGTGGGAAAAAATCAGCTGTTACTGTTAAAACGCAATGAATGCCGCCCCATTCATTGCGAGCCTCCAGTGTAAAAAAAACGCCAGGTTGGAGCCAAATTATCATTTTTTTTTTGGTAAAAATATTGTTTAAATAACACAGGCCAGATGTGAAAATATCATTATTTTCCTTCGTCTTGACATAATACATAAAGTTTGGCCCAAATGTTTATATTATTTTACAAGATCTTATCACAAACGTCAGACGACTACAGGAAATATCGAAATACTCTCGCTTCATAGCTGATTTTTACCATTTTGACTTCCGCCTACATTCAGATCAGACGTACGATGTGCAAGTCTCCGATCAGTTGTTTGTTCTCTGATATTTTTGACGTCGTTTGCTTTTTGGAGAAAGCCAGGATACTGAGTGAGTAGAATTAAAATTTTATTTCATTCCAAGTTTGTCTTTCAGGCGACAGGGTGCGGACTCGACAAGTGGTCTTGCATTTCTGGAACTATCTGGAATGTGACAATAAAATATGGGAATTGAAGAAGTATATGAAGAACATTTGGATTTTGTTTTTGGCATCAATGAAACTTCAAAATTTCTTGGAGACAGCAAATCTTCATTCAAACTTTATTGTATGTTTTCAAAACACATCGACATCAGTAAATCCTTTAACTCCCAGTTCTGGAATAATATAAGATATTTTGCTTCAATTGCTGAATAGTCATAAGGTAAGTTGTTGCGGTAGCACATGTGGCAAAAAAATCTCTCTTTTTTATCTGTGGCCTGAAAATAACCGGAGGGTCGTTTGGAATCTTCCTTTTTTTTCCTATTATATGCATTTCATTTTGCGAAGTTTCTTTCCTTTGTAATAAGCACCATAGACCCTATTTGTTTTATTTTGGTGACTATTAAGTAAAGAAATAAACAAGCTGATATTAAACCCGTACACTTTTGAATCGTGACATATAACCCGAGGACTATGGAGAAGTTTGGAGAAAATATACTTGTTTGACCGTGAAGTGGTGGTGGGCCGCGCCATTGGATCATCCCCCACACACTTTTTCGTGGTGAGAAACAAAACATGCAGATTTTAGGGCATTTTCGAACTCCCCCCCCCCCTGCTTTTTTAATTTCATCGGCCGGGCCATTTTTTTACAAATTATATTCATCCCCTACCCCCCCCCCCCCTCGTCCCGGCACAGATTTACCGCGCTTAGACAAAACGCTCAAACAATCCTTTCAATCAATTTTAATAGTGGCTGTTGACTGTCTTTTCATGCATCTGTAATGCACACGTAGGCTAGATACAAATCACTAGGGTAAAACACAGTCTCAAAATGGCGGATTATTGTGGACAGCCAGTTGAAGGCATATCAGAAATTTGCTTTCTTGGTCTTTTCCAATAATAATATTATTCAAAGTCCAAACCAGAATGTTCAAAACGCAACCTGTTGAAGTTGTAGTGGATATCGCATTTTTCTGAAAATTGTTCATAATCATGGACAAACTTTTTTATCACGAAACAAGATTTCGTTCATAGCACACTTTTTTTCAGAAGTTAGTCAATATCGACTGATCGTCGAAAATCAACTTCATTTCTCGATTTCTTTCAAATGGCTGCAATCCAGTAGAAATAATTTCACGGGGTATTTGGTACAAATACGATCAATAAAAAAATATGTTTTATGTAAATTCGGTAGGTTACTGTTGGGATAAATGAAAATGATCCTATTTTCCTTTTAATATGATCAGTAATACCGATAACTGCATAGATTGTCAGGTCGACCTATAACGTAGGGGTCAAACTAAATAAAATAGTAAATCGAATGCGTATCGCCAACGTCTCCGAACTGCGTGTCCTTGTAAAGCGATGGGGGGGGGGGGGGCGGAAGTTAAAGTTGAGGGGCGCCCAATTTCTGGACACCATCTTCCCATGAGGGCGCTGTTCAAAACCGAAATCGTGGTCAATATTAGACAATACCGCTATTCGCTTTCCACAGGACGATAAGATAAACAGTCAATCTCCAAATAAAAAGTTTCAGAGACGACTAAACAGAAAAAAGGGGGAAAAGGGCATTTTTAAAGTGTCTTCATTGATATATTGTGTTAACTTATATCCCTGTGCTTTTCTACTGTTTTCTGCCAAATTTCAAGTGGGTGAACGGAGACTGGGGAAGGGTGACGACTTTTTATTTTCATCCAAACCCAGTTGAGATTAAACTTTTTCATTCCATGGTCGACTTGACCAACGTGGCGCACTTCGATTTTTCACATGCAGTGTCTAGCTTGAGCAAAGTTTTTAATTGGAATTTCACAGAAAGTGAAATTTCATCAAGTTCTAAAGACTCCCTTTCATAACTCGCGAGCTTATGTACCCGTTGCAAAACTAGCAGAGAAATTTATCTCGGCGTGATTTTCCGATAGTATAGTGAGTGCACAGTGAACCTTTGAAAATGCCCCTCCCCCCCCCCCCCCAACAAAAAAAAATAAGAAACTAACTTTCTGACAAACTTGTATTGGGGTACGCTATGTTAGTAGAGATAATAATGGTTTGTCAGATTCATCAACTTTAAAGAAATTATTGAATGTTAAGTTGGAATTTTCCAAGATTTAGTCAAGTGCGTCACGTTAGGTACGGACGGTTAGGGAACTCTTCCAGCCGACTTTTTTGTGCCTAGTTTCCGGACTCCACCGTTTTTAAAACTGTTCACAGAGGCAATGATGTATAAAAATTCTTCACTTAAAGACTGAATGAAGTTGAAGTTTGACAAAGAAGTTTAACAATTATTGACGAAAGTCAGGGTAAACTGTCCAAGTGTGCCACACCATGATGCATACATCATAGCACCTATGGAGCTTGTTAATGTGCATGCAAGCATAGGCGTGGGCGGTGCGTGTTGCGTAGTACAGTCTAGTCACTTGGTCAATTCAGCGAAGTGGTCATTCGGCGTAGTGGTAAATAGGCGAAGTGGCAATTGTGCGAAGTGGCCGACACCCGACTAAGAGTCGTTCGCACATTCGCAACCAACCAGTAGTTGGTAACCGCTCCTCCGGCTTCGCGAACTTGCCCCAACTTCCAGGCTGTTCACACACGAAATCCGGCCATTGCAGGGGCGTAAATCCCGTGGGGGATGAAGGGCGGATCGCGGAGGGGGGGGGGGGGACGGGGGACGGGGGGGGGGGGGCAACATGGGGTAGGGGTATATATCCCCCATTTTATGACCAGAGGGATGGGCTATTAAATCATCCCCCACTTTTTCGCGATGAGAAACCAAAAAAGCTGATTTTGAGGTATTTTTCGAACATCCAAACAACCAAAATGTATTCAAAAACACTGAAAAGTAGAGAAACACAATACTTGTCATGAATTTAAAGCATGAGTATATATTGAAGCGTTTTCAGGGGTTCAGTTTTATTCAGTGGACACAAATGACACTTCTAATTCTTTCCTCCAAACATCCAAACAATGAACACACTTTATCAGTATTACTTGTGATTTACCTTTATCTGCACTATACATCTAATCGCAACGTGGAGCCTGGGGTGTGTACACACGGAGCTGGCCTTTCAGAACAACCTTCACAACCAAGATCTGCACAGCAACTAACCGCGCGTGCGCACGCACTTTACGCGCCAATTTCACGCTGACTTGCGCTGACCCCAAACTCCACTAAAAGTCAACAGCGCCACCTATACTGGATTCTGCAAACTCTACAATATTAATATACATCTGTATCCCGAGGAGCGCCCCCTAGTGTAATGTGGTGTCCAGCCCCAGCGCCACAACCCCCCAACCCCCACCACTTTTCGATTTTCCATGGCCGGGCAATTATTGGATTTTGGTCATCTCCCATCCCCCCTTTCGCCGGCACAGATTTACGCCACTTGGTCATTGTGTCTATTGGGAAGCATGTGTGTTTGTTGTATGTGGACAAATTCCTCAACTTACACGGAGGCTTTTACAATAAACTTTTTTATTACTATATAGATTACCTCATTAGCGTAGAGAGACCATATACATTCTGGACATTTTTGGTATTTTTTTATTTTTCATTTCAGTTGAAAATGGATTCGTTTTCCGTGTCCTGGATGTTGTTCCTAGCTGGTGTTCTTATCGGAACTTGTCAATCATCTACCTGTCATGCGCAGTGTGACTACGACCACGTGACAGCAAAGGCCGACTGCTCCTCCCGAAATTTGAACTGTATCCCGGTCAACTACCCAGACTCTCTCGTCATGGATCTCAGCCACAACGCCATATCGGTGCTGGAACCAGACGACTTCAACGGGACGTTCACGAAGTTGGTTGAGCTGTACCTTGACTACAACAACATATCTGATGTGACGTCACTGCTGCAGTCAACCAGGTTGGGAAGCCTGGAGAAACTATCGGTGGACCATAACACCGTTTCGAACTTGCCTTCTTCTTGTTCGCTTACTTCTCTCGAAGAGATGTCACTGGACTACAACTCACTCGATTACTTATACGGAATTCCCCATTGTAACAATTTAAAGAGCTTTTCAGCTGATTCAAATGAAATACAAAATGTTGATGTGTTTTCATTTTCCTTCAATCAATTACCCACCTCCCTCTCATTTATCAGCCTGCGGTTCAACGGGATAGGAGGTTTCTCTTGGTACGCACGTCTAATGTCCAGCGCCAATGTGACCTTTTTGCTCGATCACAATGAAATCACACAAGTCTATCTAAGAGTGCGTGGTTTTGGTTCCTATTTAGGCCTACTCTCTCTTAGTAACAACAAACTTCAAGGCATTGGAGTCCCACTTCCTGCTAAATTCGTCATAGCCAGCAATGGATTACGTGCATTTAGTGGATTCAATTTCTTTGACAGTGGAGAAACCTTAATGGAGGAGCTAGACATAAGCAACAACTCGTTTGATTCCTTGATACAACCAGAATGGGCAGAAGGTCTTCAGATCCTATACGCTGATGACAACATACTGGCCAACCTGTCCTCTACAACCCTACAAGGATTCATCAACCTGACGGAGCTCCATCTAGCAAATAATCGACTCTTGTTCATCTCATCAACAGCTCTGAGTCAACTCACGAAACTACGGTCTCTGTATATTGATGGCAACGCCCTGACATCATTGTTTGGTGGAATATTCCTCAACCAAGCTGACCTGGTGGAGCTTTCAATCGCTAGCAACCAACTCTCCGTGCTACATCAGGATTACTTTTTCGGTCTGGGCTCGCTGGAACGTTTGTATCTCGCTGGGAATCGACTAGTTTACGTTCAATCGGAGATGTTCGGGCAGATGCTTGGCCTCACCATGGTGGACTTCTCTCAAAACAAACTTGAAGTCTTTGAAATCAAAAATTGTGGCATCCTCAGCAACTTAAAGAGCATCCTGTTAGCTCACAATTCCATTCATGACATCAGTTACATACTTGGTCACTGCGATAACTTTGAAGTCCTGGACTTGAGTTTCAATCAAATCAGAGTGGTTCCTGGTGACTCTCTTACTGTAGGGGGAAGAAGCAGAGCACTATCCAGACTTGAGCTTGAAGGCAACCCGCTCCAGTGTGACTGCCGGTTGACGGGCCTACGTGACTGGCTTCTCAACAATCCCCCGTCTGTTCTCCCTCGATGTCAAGGTCCACCGCAGAACTCAGGAGCAGTGGTTACAGACTTAGACATACCTGATTTCATCTGTGATCCTCCAAAGGCCGTGAGTAAAGTGAACCATCTTAACGTGATAGTCGGTCAGGCAGCGACTCTCTCATGCACAGCGACTGGTATACCCATTCCCAACATAACATGGCTGAACCCCAACGGTACGGTGATACCAGACAAATGGCAGGACAGATTTTTCATATTAAGAGACGTGACTTTACACATCATTTCAGTTGAGCTATCTGATCGAGGAATGTACACGTGTTTGGTCCAAAACATCCTGGGTGAATTTGACAGAGCTGTGGTCAATCTGACTGTTTCCGCAGAACTGAAATCAACACACGCTGGCGTCTCTTTGGCTGCGGCTGTTCTCCCCACCATGTTTATCACCCTTATTGTCACACTCGCTGTCGTTGCCTTGGTGATTTGTCTTCGTCGTCGTTATAGGAAGAAAGATCTTTCTACCTCGGCAGTGGAAGGGGTCAGGGGTGGTTCAAGGCTTTCGGTTGGTTTCCGTAAAACTGTATCTACCAGATCAGACGGAGGCTACGTCAACGAACCCATCGAGGGTGAGTACATGACACCAACCTGTAAGGAGGACACAGGGGAGGAATACGAGGTACCATCTACGAGATACCAGAGGCACCTCAACGTCATCCCATCAGCAGAGATGGACGATGCCGACGTCTACGAACCAGTCAACATCGGTGGCGAAACATAAGAAGTTGACAAACCTACAGTTTTCGAACTTTGGAGGAAAACCCAAAACAATAATCTGAGGAAACCAGAATAACGTAGGGACTGAAAAATCTAATCACTTGTGGACCTGGGCAGAAAACGAACCCAGGCCATTTAGGGGTGGAGGGCAAGGAAAGAACCCAACCAGAGGGACGAATATCACCTTGAATATTCGTATAGAAATTGTCTTCGAATGTCCTGCAGTCTAGTCGAATATTTCACTTCGTTAGTCACTCTTATAACATTGTAAAACTGCAAAATCTACAATTTCATAGAGCTGCTTAAGCACAAAACTTGCTTAAGCACGAAAAACACATTGCTTAGTAAAATTAGGTTACCTGCCAAAACTCCATGTGATGTACATTGCTTGTGACTGGTATTTAACTGTTGTTTACTTAGCTTAACTATCGCATGAAGTTTTAGCCGGTAACATGATTTTATTAAGCAAGACGTTTTTGTGGTTAAGCAAATTCTGTGCTTAGCAGCTCTATGAAATTGGCCCCAGAACGCTTGACGCAATTGCAATCTAAACATAAACGTTTAAAGTAAGACAAGTTAAGTGGTTCTAAAAAGTGTCGTTCACGAAAAGTGTACAATATTAACGAAATGTTTACACTTTGCTTCCACGTAAGTTAACTTTCAGTTACAAGCAGCTGCTGCCCTTGAAGCTTAGTTTTGGCTGCATGGATATCTGAATATGAATTGAATATGAATCTGACACACAATTTATTGATGCTATTTACAACAATAAATGCCGTCTCTTCCCTCAAACGTGTTAAAATGTTTTTTGTTTTTTTAATGATGTGTTTACATTACTTGTGCGTTAAAACGTTAAACGCTAGGTTTCTCACTAAGACTGAATTTCGGGAAGGCTACATTGTTACATTCTAGTTTGATTTATTATGTCGACTTTGTAAATACGAAGCCATAATTTAAAGAAAAGAATAGTTTAATTTTTAGTTAAAAAAGCCTGTTCAACGAGAGTGGATTTTTTTACAAGTAAAGTGTTTGAGCCTGAGTTGTCCATTTTGACCGTTGTTAGCGTGATCATCCCATGTTTATATGGAATAGGCACGGGAGGTCAGACAAAATGTATACCCGAATGTAAATTATGACAATGTTTGATTTATACAGCGTCGGTCAAGCGCACAATAACAAGACAAGGAAAACCTATTAAAGCTGGGCCCAGAGCACACAAAAACATATATTCATTGTGGTTCAGAATGGCTTATCACTGGAAGTCTATTTTCATGCACGTGGCCTACCCAATGGCCGAATAGAGCCCATTTATTGGCGTTATTTAATAGAGGCACGTGATCCCTCGTGATTTAAAAAAAAGTACATGTACCAATTGTTATGCTCGTTTTTTTAATATTGTTTAATAAGTATTTGCATTCGTTTTTAATTAATCGTTGATTATTCTTTATGTGTTCTTGTTTTACTTGAATCTTCTCAAACGTCATAACTTGATTAAGGAATATATGGTTGTTTTTATATTTTCTAATTTTTTTTACATTTTTTCCGTACTGAAGTCACTCTGTTTGTTTATACATGCACCTGAACTTTTTATTTCGGTTTTTGTTTATCCTTTTTAGCGCTCTGTTTTAGTTACGTTATTTTACGAAAGAGTGTTGATTTGTTTTTGTTGCTGGTCTTTTTTGTCTTTTCTAAGATTTTGCTTTTTCTTTGTGTTAAGTGCATATCACTTCATTGTTTTTTCCTTTCCTTTTGTAAAATTCATATTATTAGTTTATGTTAATGCAGGGCCCTAGTAAAAACCAGCTTTTTGCTACTTGGGTTTACAGTGGATAAAAATAGGTATAAATAAATAAATCCTATTTCAAACTTTTGGGCCAAGGTCAGACTTAAGCAAGTCTAATTCACAGTCAGCGAGTGGACTATAGGCTGCCCTGTCTTGGTTCAGCAATAAACACGTATAATACAATGGAATGATTTGTCTTACTCACTGAGTATACATGTTGGAATGGACAAAGAAAATGTATGTTTTAAAATGAGATTAAAATAATGGTTTCAGTTATTGATCTATGTTGTCATTGGTACATACATTGAACAAAATCGGTATCCTAAAACCTGTTCAATGTATCTCTTCTTAGGGGATATCTTATTCAACACTTCGGAATAATTAATATAATGTTTGTTAACAACCTTGCACTCTGATTTCCATATACTCATATAAAACATGTATAAGCAAAATGTAAGTACGAACTTAATCGTATAAGAAGGCTTACTACAAAATGGTTGAATATGGCCTGACATGATTATTCAAGTTGCATGCATTGATAAGGGAGTGTTGAAAATAATGAACATAATGTTTTTTTTATAACTAACACTGATATTAAAACGTAGTGTACAGAAATGCAGTATGCTTCAAGTTCAAAAGGGCATGACAACATACATGTATATTAATATTTTTTTCTTCCTAGACTTAATCCTGCACAAAATAAGGAGCTAGGTTGATAATTTTGCCTCTTGTGAATAGAAATTTAAAGAAATATTATATAATAGATGCACGTCTTAATTTTGTTGAATAATCTGGTAGTTTTTGAATTCTATTGCTTGTAATGTTTTAGAATGCTGAAAAATTGAAATGTTTAAAACGGAGGTTGGACTTAGTAGTGACAGTGGAGAATATGCAAATTACACCTGATTCAGGTTTTGTCAAACTATATCAGCTGGATTTTATTCCATTTGCTTCCTCTAAAATTAAAACGGTTGACATGATCATGAGAATATCTAAAGTCTATAAATATGTATCATACATCAAATCATTGAGACTGACATAATTGTACGTCAATGTGCTAGGGGCTTTACAGTGTATACACAGTAAATATCAAAATAATGGCTTTTTTCAGGCCACCGTTATGATTGTTATATACAAAGCGAATAAACATGCATTTTGTACACGGAAAATGCAGTCTTTAAAAGCCTCCAAAATAATCAGTCGATGTAGCACGGTTAATTCTTTTACTCATGCAGGCATTCCGATTTCTGGGGCACATTCTGTTTCCTAACATCGAAAGAAATAAAAAAAAAAATCGATGTTCACTGGCCCAAAAAATGAAGCGTTAGAGAAAAGGAACTTCCTCGAGCGAACATCGAACCGCGCCGGCCGGCCGCACGTGCCGCAAGTTCAGCCAATTTACGCACATATCCCTGGGCGCCAAATATAGCTCCAACCATGGGCGGCGATCGATCGGGGGGGGGGGGGGATCCCCCCCTCAATAAATGTAGGGCGGGGACGATAATTGCGTTGACCCCAATAATTTAACCCAGTGCGTTTAGAATTTAGACCAATTTACCTAAATTCCACTTTCACTGAAATGGCGCATAAAAAACATAAATACGCATAATGTGTATTTGTGCGTACATATATACATCTTGGAACAGCGCCTATTAATGGTGTCAAGCCCCCCCCCCCCACCTCCAACCTCGACTCCGCTTTTCAAAACTTCCAAGCTGCTCCCCCCTCCCCCGGCCACCCCCGCACCCCCATGACCCATGTTGACAACAAATTGCCGCCGCTAGCTCTCACTGAAATTGCTTACAGTACAATGTCGCTTTTCATTGATTTAGTTCCTCATTAACATGAACATTAATCTGACTTACAGGTCAACATCCATGAAGAACTACTTTACGTGCCTTTGTACGTGCCCTGATTCAAACAAGAAAACTCCGCACGCAACTGCGTTATTAATCGTGGACATGCATGCCTAGCGCCCTCAGGTGGCCATATCGAGTTAATTTGTCAACGCATACCATAGAGCTATATTAAATTACCGCATACCTTCTTGGAGTTGTTGGAGATGTCTAAAAGCTAATTTCGAAAGTATAATCAGTTATCACTCATCTCAAGCAAGGAACTGTTTTAGTTTCAGCGTTGCTGAAACAGAATTATCATATAAACCGAAACGAAATGTTGCACGCCAACGTGTACACATGTAATTTATTTTCTTTTTTACGAGTCCATGGGTGCGTTGGATCACTGACCATTTATAGCTCGCCAGGGTCGACCTTGGGTAAATGCAGACGGGTTATATGCCACGAGAGCAGGGCTAGTCGAACGCTCAAAGGCGGGCCATCGTGATCCTCACGTGACGTGCATAACCGACGTTGAAGCCGTTGACAAAACGCCATTTTTGGACTCAGTCTTACTTAACTATATACTGCTTCCCCGTCATTCGCAAGAAGTAACAACAGGCTGACCACTGGTGGTACAGGCTGACCCGAGTGAGCCCCGAGAATGACGTCACAGCTAAGCGAACGGCACGGAGCTAACCCGAGTCGACCTGGTTGAGCTACAACATAATGTTTCGAGTTTTCTAGCATCCTTATATAGTTTCTCTTTCCTTGACATAACAAAACACAATTGGCCACAATTCTTTTTACCGGGTCTTATTACATAAACGTCAGAAGAACAGGAAGTGCAAACTAGTGAAACTACTATCGCTTTCAGCTTATTTCTTTCCACTTTGACTTCCGCCTACATTCAGATCAGACGTACAGCGTACAAGTTCTCAGATAATTTGAAATCGTGTTGCTTCTTGGAGAAAGCCAAGATACTCTGTGAGTAAAATGTTAACCTAATTAAGTTCATTCGTAGTTTAGAAATGAAATATGAGAAATGCAGAGCTACGATTATTTGGGAGATTTTTAAAATGTTGTTGGCAATCAGATACTTTACAAATTCACTCAGGCATCGTAATGAATAATGCAAATCTTCATTCAAAACTTTCAAACCCACACTATTTCAGCAAAACGATATTGTTTTGTGTGAACGTTTTTCAACAGATGTTTTCAAAGAACAATTAGCCTACATCAATCCCCTAATGAAACTGATTGTAGTCATGGACTTATATCAGAAATGTTCCTATTGTGAAATAATCAAATATGGTCAAATGTTCAAACGTTAGGAAATATTTTGAAAAATAAAAGCAATGAAAAGTATTTTTATTTGAACAACTAGGCTTTTTTCTCTTTTTACATCATTTAAACTATGTCTTTACGTATTTAAACTATGTCTTTACGTATCTATTCTTTTAAAAGTACATATAAATTTTTACTCTTTTTATTTGGCGTCATTCCAACTGTAACTTACATTTAAAAAAGACAGATTTTGTTTAAGTTTTTTATAATGGCATCAAAATCACACGCAGTTAAGAATAAAGACAGGCCTATACTAACTCTGAAGTCATTCAGTAGTTTTACTTTGGCTTCTGTTTTAGAATACAAAATGTTTATTCCTTGCATACACAATTCAATTTAAAACAAATCCAACGGTTCTTCTTGTAAGTGCTCATTTTTTCCATTTTCATTTCAGTTGAAAATGGCTATGTTTGCCATGGCCTGGGTTCTGTTCCTCGCTGGTGATCTTATCGGAACTTGTCAATCGTCTACCTGTCATGTGCAGTGTGATTACGACCACGTGACAGCGAGGGCTGACTGCTCCTCCCGTAATCTGAACTGTATCCCCGCCAACTACCCAGACTCCCTCGTCATGGATCTCAGTCACAACGCCATATCGGTGCTGGAACCAGACGAATTCAACGGGACGTTCACGAGGTTGGTTGAGCTGTACTTTGACTACAACGACATATCTGATGTGACGTCCCTGCTGCAGTCAACCGGGATGGGGAGCCTGAAGAAACTATCGCTGGACCATAACATCGTTTCGAACTTGCCTTCTTCTTGTTCGCTTACTTCTCTCGAAGAGATGTCACTGGACTACAACTCACTCCATCACTTAAGCGTGATCCCATCTTGTAACAATTTAAGAAGATTTGATGCTAATTCAAATCAAATACAAAGTGTTGAGGTGTCGTCATCATCTTCATGGTTCTGGTTCGATTCAATTCGCACTTCCCTCTCATTTATCAGCCTGCGGTTCAACAGAATAAAGGGTTTCCGTTGGTCCCTACGTCATCCAGGTAGGTCCAGCACCAACGTGACCTTTTTACTAGATCACAATGAAATCACACATGTCGAACTCACGGTGCGTGGTTCGGGTTCCCATCATGGCCTACTCTCTCTTAGTAACAACATACTTCAAGACATTGAAGCCACACTTCCTACTAAGCTCATGGTAGACAGCAATGGATTACGTGAATTTAGTGGATTCGATTTCTTTGACCGTGGAGAAACCTTACTGGAGGAGCTAGACATTAGGAACAACTCGTTTAATTCCTTGATACAACCAGATTGGGCTCAAGGTCTTCAGATCTTATACGCTGATGACAACATACTGGCCAACCTGTCCTCTACAACCCTACACGGATTCATTGACCTGACGGAGTTCCATCTCGCAAATAATCGACTCGTGTTCATCTCATCAACAGCTCTGAGTCAACTCACTAAGCTACGGTCTATGTATCTCGATGGCAACGCCCTGACGTCATTGTTTGGTGGCATATTTCTCAACCAAGCTGAACTAGTGCAGCTTTCCATTACAAACAACAAATTCTCCGAGTTATATCCGGATTACTTTCTCGGTCTGGACTCGCTGGAACGGCTGTATCTCGCCGGGAATCGACTGGTTTACGTCCAGCCAGAGATGTTCCGGCAGATGCCTGGCCTTATTACGATGGACTTCTCTAAAAACAAACTTAAAGTCTTTGATATCACAAATTGTAGCCTCCTCAGCAACTTACAGAACATCCTGCTAGCTCACAATTCCATTCATGACATCAGTTACATAATTGGTCATTGCCATGACTTGGTAGTCCTGGACTTGAGTTTCAATCAGATCCAAGTAGTCCCTGGTGACTCTCTTACTGGGGGTCACAGAGCGCCATCCAGACTTGAGCTTGAAGGCAACCCGCTCCAGTGTGACTGCCGGTTGACGGGTCTACGTGACTGGCTTCGCAACAACCCCCCGTCTGTTCTCCCTCGATGTCAAGGTCCACCGCAGAACTCAGGAGCAGAGGTTTCAGACTTAGACATACCTGATTTTATCTGTGATCCTCCAAAGGCCGTGACTAACGCGAACCATCTTAACGTGATAGTCGGTCAGACAGCGACTCTCTTATGCACAGCGACCGGCATACCCATCCCCGACATTACATGGTTGAACCCCAACGGTACGGTGATACCAGACAAATGGCAGGACAGATATTTCTTTTCAAGAGGCATGAATTTACACATCATTTCGGTTGATCTATATGATCAAGGAATGTACACGTGTTTGGTCCAAAATATCCTGGGTGAAAGTGACATAGCTGTGGTCAATCTGACTGTGACCGAAGAACTGAGAGCAACACCCACTGTGACCGAAGAACTGACAGCAACACCCACTGGCGTCTCTTTCGCTGCGACTGTTCTCCCCACGATGTTTATCACCCTAATTGTCACACTCTCTGTAGACGCCTTGGTGATTTGTCTCCGTCGTCGTTATAAGAAGAAAGATCTTTCTACCTCGGCAGCGAAAGGGGTTAGTGCTGGTTCAGGGCTTACGGTTGGTTTCCGTAAATCTCGTGTACCTATCAGATCACACGAAGGATACCTCGACAAAACCGTCGATGGAGACTATATGACACCAACCCCCAAGGAGGACACGGGGGAGGAATACGAGGTACCAACTGTAAAAACAGCTAAATATCCTTCTGGGAGACACCAGAGGCACCTCAAGGTCATCCCATCAGTAGAGATAGACGATGCTCACTTGTACGAACCAGTAGATCGCGATGAAGAAATAAGATGTTGAACAAAATGACAGGTGGAGTAAACAAACGAAATTGAGGTTGAAAAAGGTATAGATTTGGGTAAAAGTGTTCAGACCCAATGAAAGAAACATTTAGCGTGTGTTAATCAAAACATGGATTTTGTCTTACCGGTGTAGCGTGAATATCCGACTCCATGAAATGTGGACTCATTGGTAGTACTGCGCACGCGTGAGTACGATACCATGCTATTTTTAGGATCGTTTCGGGAGAGTGACTTGTCACGTGCGAGGGATTAACCAATAATTGGGAAAAAGGGGTCCGATTTTCATAGGAGTCGGATTTTCATGTGACACCGGCACCGTTTACCTCTCTAGGTTTCCATCTGCTGAGATCCTCGTAATCACTCTCTAAGGTAAAACATAAAGATAAAACCACGATTTATTTAGTATAACCACGGCGCTCCTTTTTCCGAACAGAGGGATGATTGTAGGACTATACTAAATGATGATATTAATAATAATCTTCCTGGCTGGAAAACCGAAGAACGCTTGACGCCTTTACAACCTGAACATAAACGTTTATATATTATGTAAGACAAGATGTTTTTGGTGTTCCTAAACAGCAACGTTCGTGAGAGGTTACAATATCGACGGAATGTTTTAAATTCGTTTTCCTGAAAGTTAAGTTTCTGTCACAAAGCAGCTGGAAAACTTAAACTAGCTGTGCGAGGTTTGTTGGGTTTTTTGAGTGCATAGATATCAGAATAATGAATCTGACTCATTTTATCTTACGCCTTGTACTACAAGTAAATGGCGTCTCTCGCCTTCAACGTGTTATATTAGCATTTGTTGCTTTTTAATGTATTCAGAAGTCAAACACTAGGCTTTCACAGTGTAAAATGAATTTCGGGAAGACTACATTCGCTGTACATACTTTCATTCATCGTGTGGACTAGGCCATCATTCAGTGACAATCGGAATACACACAATTTGCATAATTATAGTAAATCAAAAATCGTGCAAGGAGAGTGGATTTTTACAAGCAAATTTTAAAGCCTAAATTGTACACTTTGACAGTGAGTAACTTGTTCCTTCCATTTTTAATACATGCACAAAAATATGTTAACCCAAATGTATATATTAGCAACATAATTTTGAATTGTGTTTCCATATAATCATGTCAAACCACACTGTAAACACGTTGGGCAAAATGGGTGATATTTAGACCAACGTTGGTCAACATATCAACGGGTTAATCTCTTGGGCAAATTTTTCCCAAATGTTGAAAAAATGTTACCCAAATTGGGCAATTTCAAACCAATGTTGGGTAAAATTATATTGCCCAACAGTGTTTTGCCCATTATTTTTTACAGTGCGAATGTGTTAGCCAAATAATCTTGAAATGTGATTTCCATATAATCATATCAAAACAAATATATATAAGCAAAATAAACTTGCATTGTGATTTCCATATAATCATATCAAAACAAATGTATACAAGCAAAATAATCTTGACTTGTGATTTCTATTTAATCATTTCAAACCCAATGTATATTAGTAAATTAATCTTGAATTGTGATTTCTATATAATCATATCAAACCAAATGTATATTAGCAAAATAATTATGAATTTTGATTTCTATAAAATCAAATCAACCCAAATATATATTAGCAAAATAATATTGAATTGTGTTTCAATATAATCATATAAAATGTATGTTAGCCAAATAATCTTGAATTGTGATTTCCATATAATCATATCAAAACAAGTGTATATTAGCAAAATAATATTGAATTGTGATTTCCATATAATCATATCAACCCAAATGTATATATTAGCAAAATAATTTTGAATTGCGCTTCAATATAATCATATCAACCCAAATGTATTTTAGCCAAATAATCTGGAATTGTGACTTCCATATAATCATATCAAAACAAATGTATAGTAGCAAAATATTATTGAAATTTGATTTCCATATAATCGTATCAAAACAAATATATATTAGCAAAATAATCTTGACTTGTGATCTCTAAATAATCATATCAAACCAAATGTATATTAGTAAAATAATCTGAAATTGGGATTTTTATATCAAACAAAACTTATTTAATAGCAACATGTTTACACGAACATATGTTAGCAAATGTTAGTACGATTGTTTGCACTGCGGGAATCTTTGATGTAGTGATTTTGTTCAACATGGATATGGATACGCATGCGTAGAACTCTTGTGTATTCATTGTTAATGAATTAACATAACAAAAGACACCTCCAAGATGGCTGCTGAATGCAATCGATCTATGGGCGAGCTTAATCATTGGTGTAATTATAAATGTCTCATGTGATTTTTTTACAGGGGCAGTAGTACTTAGATAAATAAAATAACGAACATTGATTTTAAAACGTAGTTGTACAGGAATTCGGTATATTCTTCAAGTTTAACTGGACATGACACCATTATATGCACAATTTCTCTCTCCTGCAAATGAGTCTTGGACAGGGTTTGTATGGAAATTAAGAGAACTTTCACTGCAGGTGTTTAGATCAGCGGCTTGTTTAATTGTTGTATAGGTGTAATAGTTTTGTCGAGACAGGGCATGAGTGTTGTACGTTAATGCGCTGGGGCCTTTAAATACTGTGTGTTATTGTACACAATAAATCCCAAATAATGCTCTTTCCAAGCCACAGTTATGTTATATAATCACAAAACGTTACAGAATAAACAAGTACTTTCAACACGGAAAATGCAGCCTTCGAAAACCTTATATGGGTCTGGGGTAAATAAATTTGCTTTTGTAACTTGTATTTTCTCTATGGGGAAAAACTGCTGTAATATACAGTGTTTCGTCTAAAGGCGACAATTTCTGTCAAGCAGACCTATATTTTTCATTCTGCCATACATATCAACATTTTTTTCAAGAACAGCTTAACCCTGAAAATTTGACCTACACTTAAGTCATCGTAATTCCCCCAAAAGCCATGTTGTCATTAATATTTTTTTAATAACTGCATTCCTCACTCAGTGGCAGTGCCAGACTCTAAAATTGGGGGGGGGGGGGGGAATTTGGGGGAATACAAAGACGTAGGCTGCACACTATAAGTACCATAGTCCCAATGTTTATAATGCTTTCATTGGCCCAAAACGGGTCCACATGTTATAGATCTTAACAGCTAAGAAAATAAACATACTTAATATATTTGTGGTGGGAGAAAACGGGGGGGGGGCCTCTGGGGAATGTCCCCCCCCCCCCCAAGTAGCACAACCGTTCATATTACTCGAGAATTATTCCTCCTTTCTTATGCAGATCGTAAAAGCTCGTGATATGTAAAGGGATAGACAACGATACTCACTGGCAAAAAGACATTCGCAGAACAGACATTTAGCAAAGCACTGTAGACAATATTTTTGAACTGTTACCAACACTTGAAAGATACTTTCAAAACTACATAAAATCGGCAATGTGTATAGTTTAAGTACTGCACTTTTTCCCCAACTTGTTAATGACTAAGTTTCATCTGTTTTATCGTATTTCTCCCATCAGCGTAACTAGGGTCAAACTTCTGGGTGTTCATTAATTTCCCATGGGGGCGGGGCACTCAAGGGGGCGGGGCGGGAGGGGTCTGTTAGCCGTGGGATTACTACGATCTGTGTGCTTTTTCCACTGAAATGGGGGTGTGCAAAATCGTGATAAAGAAATAGCCCTTTTAACATTGAAATCTGAAAACTTTCTTATTTCTACAAACGTTGTTCAAGCTTTTGTGCTATCCAAAATGTGTACATAAGTCCACTATCGACGGACAACTCTAGATAAGAATATGGTTTGATACGCAATGAATCCTGCGCGCGACCTCGTGTGTGAATGCACTTATCGAGTAGCCGCTTCAAAAGACACCCCAATAATTCACCCCCCCCCCAAAAAAAAAAAAACACGAATTGTTTCTTCTTCTTTTTGGAAACGCATTTGAACTTTTCATTTTTATTCCTTGCAAAGAAGCGTTAAAAGTCTCATAAATACTCCGTAGTCGTTAAATCTGTCAGTATAACATGACGGGGTTTTAGTTTTTATTTTTTTTTTTTTGGGGTGTGCCAAATACATAAACATTATGAAACACAAACTAGTTTGGTATATTCGCAGTATCATAATCGGGTGCCTGGCTCAAAGAGTGGGCTGTAACGTTATTAATAACTAGGAACTCGACAGGCATATTCAACAGGTGATCGATCACGATTGGTAGCTTGACATGCTCGAATCGGGTCGCGCTGTATGTGATGCGTACGTGTACACATAAGTCGGCTCATCACCCGCGATGTGTATATAGCTTCTGTGCACAAGGAAATGAGATACGTCCCAACGTTGGTGGCGTGTTTCTGTCGGTGGGACCACCACCCACCCCGTCTTCTCCCCCCCCCCCCCCCCCCCCGGACGAACTCCAAATCAGGAACTGATTCTTAAAAAAAAAGAAGCTTTGAATAAAAAATGACGCACTAATCCGTACCTTAACTCGTCATTAATGCCGAGGAAAGAAGAAAAATTAGGTCACGAGAAACAACATTTGACTGATTAGGAAATCAAACTTGATTTCCGGGTCTCATGACGGGCAATGCAGAATGGTGAAATTGTCAGATTGATTGAAGTAGCAAATTTTGAACTGCAAAATGTCTATCGTAGTCGTAGATCTACGGGTCGGGTTTAGAAGGTCTTAACACCCCCCCCCCCCACCTCCCCCCACCCTGCATCCCCGGGCCGCAAAACAAGTAAAATCCCTCCGGCAGCCGAAGTCCCTCTTTGGAGCTAACTACTCATCATTCAATATATAGACATAGGCATTTGCCCGTGGTCCCCCAGTAGTGGAGGGGGACTTCTTAGAACGGTTTGACCTTGGGCATAGAAATATGTAAAGGTCACATAAATATGGAAATATGAAAATATGTAGATATAAATATGAATTAATGAAGTTATGAAATTCTGGGCACAGTTTGACCTAATGAATGGATGGGATGAATAGGGAATAGGTGTGGGTATAAGGAACCGGGTAC